AAAAAAAAAAAAAGAATTGTTGATGCACAACCATTTCAGGAGAAGGCACATGATCAAGAATCTATAATACTGAAGAAGTCCAATCCACACTGAAGACATTGGCAAAAAACAAAACTCCAGGCATTTATAGAATAAAACTCCAATATTTCAACAAACTGATGGTGGCTCACTTGTTTATGCCAAGAAATTTGGAATCACCTGCCTGACCAATCAATTGGAAGAGATCCATTACTTGTGCCCATTCCACAGAAAGGAGACGCAACAGAATGTGGAAATCATGGAACAAGTATCATTAATATCACATGCAAGTAAAATGTTGCTGAAGATAACTCAAAAACAGTTGCAGCAGTCAATCCACAAGAGAGCAGCCAGAAATTAAACTGATTCATAAGAGGATGTAGGAAGAGTTATTGTTGATGTCAGATGGATCTTGGCTGAATACCAGAATGATGTTTACTTGTACTTTTAGCCTATGCAAAGTCATTCAACTGTGTGCAGCATAACTATGAACACTGCAATTAATGGGTATTTCAGAACTTAATTTTGCTCATGAGAAATCTGTACACAGACCAAGAAAGAGGCAGCTGGTTAGAACTGAACAAGGGAATACTGAATGGTTTAAAATCAGGAAAGGTTATTCCTTCGCCATATCATCTGTATGCTGGGCAACTAGAAAAAGTGAAGAATGTAACATCAGAATTGGAAAAAGATTCACTTAACAATCTGTAATATGCCAACGACACACCCTTGCTTGCTGGAAGCAAAGAGAACTGAAATATTTATCAATGAAGAACAAAGACTACATACAGACTTCAGTATGGATTGCACCTCAATGTAAAAAAAAAAGAAATCCTCATAACTGGATCCATAAAGAACATCACAATAAACAGAAAATACTGAAGTTGCCAGACTTCATTTTGCTTGGATCCACCATCAACACTTTTACAAGCAGGATATATTGCATTAGTCAAATTTGCTGCACAACAGCTCTTTAAAGCATTAAAGCACAAATAAGTCAGCTTCAGGACTAAGTCAGGGAATTTTTAATCAACTCATAAGCATGTGAAAGTTGGACAATGAATAAGGCAGACCATAGAATCGACGTATTTGAATTATGGTGTTGGAGACTATTTAAAGTACCATGGATTGCCAAAACAAATAAATCTGTCCCGGAATTAGTAGTAAGGAAGCTCTTTAAACGCAAGGATGCTAAGGCTTTGTCTCTAGTACTTCAGACATATTGTTAGGAGGGACCAGTCCCTGGAAAAGGACATATTGCTTGGAAAAATGGAGGGTCAGAGAAAAATGAGGAAGACCCCCAATGAGATGGATTAACAGTGGCAGCAACAACGGGCTCAAACGTAACTGTGAGGATGGTGTAGGGCTTGGGCAGTGTGTGGTTCTGTGGTACATAGGATCACTGAGTTGGAACCAACTTGAAGGCACCTAATACTTATACTACTAACTTCACGCCTGTGTTAAGTGTTTCAGGCAAAGAGGGCAGATAAGTCATTTAGTTCACAGGTCTTCAGATTAGAGGGCTGGTACTCAGGGAATGAGACCCAAGGTAATCATTCACACCTGTACTTGATGCGTTGATGGCCTTCTGGATTCTGAGCTAATGTTACAAAGGGATGAGATTTACATGTCCTGGGAAAATGGATGAGTTTATTTTGTATGTGGGAAGGATGTGAGTCATATGGCCTGAAAAGATGTCACAGTAACTTCTATGTTCTTTAAATGTGAGGAGGTGATGGTGGTTGTGGTGGTTCTATGGTCCCTCCACAGGCAGTGGAAATGATGTTGTTGGACTCAGATGCTAGGTCATACATAAAAAAGTAACAGTAGCTTTTGACACACTTCCTGAACACTTGCACTTGTGAGGAAACGCTAACTAACCCAGAGAGCAACACAGCACGGTGAAGCCCTGAAAGCAAGTGAAGAGGTGCACAGCCTAATCAGGCCCTGGCTGCTCTAGCTCTTGGTTGTTCCAGCTCCAGTCACCATCTGACTGCCAACCTGAGACCACAGCCAGAAGCACTCAGATTAACCTTTACAACCCAGTGAAAACCAGAGACAGTGAAGATGACTGTTTGAAATGACAATGTTATATACATCATTGAAATATAAATTGTGGTAGAAATGTAAGTGGACTTTAGACCAATTCCTTCTTACCTTGCCTAATCAGAAATAATTATCTAGTCAGCACACATGACAGTATGCACAGCAAGCTTTCGTTCTCCAGGTACTTACGGAATCTCTGAAAATGACCATTTGCGTTTTAAAGGCAATTAGCTGGTTGCTGTATATTGATTTATCTTCATGAATCACATTCATCAAATCATTATTTTAATATTCAGTGATAATTGACTTCATTCTCATCACTAGAAAGCATCAATACTTATAATTAGCAAACCATAAAAAAAATAAAGATGAGAGGCATTGCATGTTCTTTTACATTTATTTCTCATAAACATGAATACAGCAAACACTGGAGAAAGATTCTTGAATAAATTTTTGGATATAAAGCTTAACACTTAGATTATGCTTGCTCCTCCCCCCCATCCGTGCCAAGCCCACATGCAGGTATCGTTTATTTTCATACACAGGCATACCTCAGAGATACCGCAGGTTCGGCTCCACACCACTGCAAGGAAGTGAGTATTGCAATAAAGCAAGTCACACACTTTTTTTGGTTTCCCACAACATAAAAAAAGTTACATTTATACTGTGTATAAAGCTATTAAGTGTACAATGGAATTATGAAAACATTTGAAATATTTTGAGAATTATCAAATATGACACAAAAGACACAAAGTGAGCACATGCTGTTGAAAAAATGGCAGATAGACTTGCTCAACACACAGTTCACAGTTGTCACAAACCTGTTTTTGTTTTTGTTTTTTAAATGCAGTGTCTGGAGCACAATAAAATAAGGTATGCCTATATGTAAATTCCCTATAACTTTTGAAACTATTTCACAACTTTCTACAATCATGGTTAATACTATCATTCATACAGTCCCCCAAGCTGAGTACATTTACATAATATTAACAGTAAAATCTGTGTTTCTTAAAACATCACAATAAGCCAAACCACAAACTCCCTATTTTAAGTGCTATGAGGACTGCTGCTGAAATCAAAGCATGCAGATATTCGTGACCACTTAGTTCATATGCAGCTGGATACTGAAACTCCTGCAGTAGGTCCAATGATGTCATTTTCATTCATCCCAAGTATCGCCGTATTTGTTTACTTTGACTAGGAAAAAAGCACAAACAACTGATGATCCCAAATAATAACATGCATATAGCATCAAGATTGCCATTATAAGGAAGAAAAGTTATGTTTCTCTCTCATCTGAATAAAAGCACAGGAGAGTCAAATTATAAAAAGGGGCTGGATAGCCTTGTGAGCAGGGCATTGGACATAAACACTAATGTACTATGTAAGAACTTCAAATAATTATTTGATCCTCAAAACAATCTTCTAACTACTATCCCATTTTAAAGGTGAAAAACAGATTAGTAATTTGCCCAAGGTACAAGCCTAATGATAAACAAGGAAAAGTGAAATTTGAACACAGATTTAAGTCCAAAGCCTGGAAGCCTTCAAAATGTCACCATAAATAAATGTGGCATATAGTACAACACAGTATTATTTTTTAAACCCAGAAAAAATAACTTAAATTTTGTTTTTCCCAAAATACATGGTAATAAAAATGATCAAGTATTCATGTTGTAGTGAATTCACTCTTCTCTCCCATGAGAAGTAACACTACTAACAAGAGGAAAGTGGTCTCCACTAGTCCAGCATTTTAGATGAGCTAGTGAAACCTGTTCTTCTTCTTTCCTACATAGCCTTCATCTGTGCAGGACTACTCTTCAGAAGACCAAATTAATTATAACCAGGTGAGTAAGGCATTATCACAGTGTAGGCTAGGGACTCAAGACCTTTTCAGGGAGTCCACAGTCAAACTACTTTCATTTTGCCTTCTCCCTTGTTCTCATTAGCTTACGAATATGCAAATTTCCAAACTATTATACGGTGTGACATCACTGCTCTGACAGATAAAGAAATCATGTCTCAATTTTTCCCACCAGTCTTAGGTTTGAAATTGGTAAATAAATATAATCCATACAAACAAAATTTTGGTAGTTCTCAATAATTTTTAAACCATAACGAGGCCCTAAGATGAAAGAGTTTAAGAACTCCTCATCTAAAGTACTGCAGTTAAGTTCAAGCAATCAATAAAGGTGGAAATGGGAAGAATAGCATTGTGCATTTCACACTATGATGTGCTTAAAAGTTAAACTGCATTTTATGGGGAAAAAACAAGAGTAGGAAAAAAGTTGATGAATTAACCAGGTTACAATGCAACAAATTTCATTGTTTCAGTCCACAAATCAGTATTTATCTTAAAAAGAAAAAAAAAGGTATCACATATCACTATGATATACTATACATTGTATAAAATCAGAAATGTCATTTATCACAGAAAATTAAGGTGACTATTTCTGTAGATTATTAGTAGAAATGTGAGATTTTTTCTAAATTTATTATGCGTCACTCACTATTCTAAGTGTTTTGTAGACATTAATTTTATACTCATGAGAGTTCTGAGGAAGGCAGTATTATCATTTCTAGTTTACATGAGTTATCTATGTCAAATGTACCTCTTTTTACTCAACAAATACACTAAAAAATTTATAAGTCAAATTACATCTGAAAAGGAGTGATTCACTAACACTGAAAATAAATGACCTTTTGTTGTTGTTGTAAAGCAAATAAATGTTTTATAATGAAGCACTACTCTCTGACTTATCTAAGGCAAGAATTAAATTTCCAGAGGTACATAACAAATCATATTACAATTAGACACTGACTATTTGTAAGGGAACAACCCAAAACTTGCCAATCTCAAATTTAAGAATGACCAAAGAATTCACAATTTCCCTACCTAAGATACAATAAAACCTTGGGGGAAACTTTCCGACCTATAATCTGCACTGTACCAATGTACCAATGTTCTATTTTGTTTCCAGATTCCAGAGCAGAACATTCACTGACAATAGTACACAACAGTTTTTCTCCCCTGATATATAAGTAGAAAAAAAGTAACAGCCTTCTTTTCATAAAGAAAAAAAAGCTGAGTACTTCACATTACTATGCCATATAATAGAATTTCAGGGCTTCTCACGGTCAAAACCACAACCATCAAAATCCAGCAAATGCTAAAGGACCACATTTCCTTTTCTAAATCTCAACTACTATAAAGGGTCCAACCAAAATATTCAAGTTCCTATCCTTCAGTGCAAGGCACAATGCTATGCAGACATAGAATAGTAAAGATGATAAAAATGGAAAAAAATATTATTCCCTGCTCTCATAGAGCTTACAGTCTAAATCATCAAGTTAATTAACAGAACCACACACCAATATAATTATATGTTACAGAGCAAGGGCGAGTGAATGTATAAGGTTTATGCTAATTATTTTTAAATGACAGATATTAAACAATTTTGTAGCTCACAATTCTATTTAAAAGCTATGTTTTTACATCAGTGATATCACAAAGGCATTACCCAACATTGTTAAAAAAATTATAATTCTAAACAAAAGCAACCATTAACATATCAATAATCAAAATTGAAAATGGTAAGGATTTTAATGTATTTTTGTATTCTTTATGGTATATAAGTTTCAGGGTACCAATGACCTACTCCTTCCTACAATATTTATAGTAGTAAACAGAAAATCTTGAAACAATGACGGTAACGGTGACGGCAGTGGTTGTGTGCTGTGGAGTTGGTTCCAACTCATGGCAACCCTGAACAGGGTTTCCAAGGCTGTAAGTCTTTACAGGAGCAGAAAGCCTCATCTTTCTCCCATGGAGCAGCTGGCAGAGTCAAACTGCTGACCTTGTAATTAGCAACCCAACCTGCAACCCACTACACTATCCAGGCTCCTTAAAACAAGGATACACCCTCTAAAATTTCTTAAGACACAAAAAATTAAATTATATACTAAACTATCTGCAAAATTCCACTGGAACTTCATTCACTCCGCCATTACAGAGAAACTTCTTTGCTGGAAAATTTACTTTGAGCAATCCACATCTTGTCCTAAAGGACTTAAAGCCAATTATGATTTTCTACCTTGTAATTTACAGTTTATAATTAATTATAAATCAACAATTACTATTTGTTTTTGTTTTGTTAAGTCATATTCCTCTTAAAGCTGGTTTGTAAGGCACACAACTCTTTCAATTTTACAACTGTACAAGAAAATCAATTTCATTACTTAATTATGATTCTGTAGTTCACCTTAGATCACCAGATCTGGCTTTATGCAACAGATGCATAATTATGTTGAAAAAAAAGAGTGAGAATGAGATCCTGGAAAAATAGTCAAATGAATGTCTAAGATCTTTCCGACCTATAATCTGCACTGTATTAGAAAACTAGTATTAGAAAACTAGTCTCACTAGTATTAGAAAACTAGTCTCACTATGTGAAACCATACCAATTTGAACTTATTTTCTAACACAAAAAAGAACACCTTAAAAATATAAGAACTGATGAATGTGAAATAATTATTAATTTTTTAAATTTTAGTTAATCACCTAAGGAATTAAATCACATACTAATTAACGTGTTAAATTAGTGTTACAGTTCCAATTCTAAAAGGACTAAACTCCCATACCTTCTTTTTTGGGCATTCTTTCCTGCATAGGCCTGACTGAGGGGTCAGTCCTTTGTGTTAAAGTTACTTCATATGACTCTCTGTTCTTATTCCTTAATTCCTCATATGTAATATTTTTTCTTTTAGGGCTCTCTTCAATGTTGGGATCAGGTCCTAAAACAACAAACAGTTAATAAATGGTGATAAAAGGATTTGGATAAATTCAAAACAACTAAATTTTGCAAATGTTTATTGCTTGCAATCAAAATAGAATGATGTGAAGAAAAAAAATCAAATTATTACCACCATTTGACAGGTATTATATTATATTCTCACCAAAATAATTAAAATATTAAATTCTACTTCCACTTTACATCTTTTATTTCTAAAGTTTAAAATCAGTATTAAAAACTGAAGAAAATTAACCAGGGTCAGAAAAAGAATAGGTGCTAACATATGTAACAGTTCAATTCTCACTCACTGGAATGCCAGCATTTACACTCTAAGTGACCAGTACTCTATGTGGAACTAGAACATAACATACAGTGGGGCAAGGGATCAAAACTTGACAGAATACAGCTTTTGGGTTTGTTTGGTAATATTTTCAGTTAAACGTTGCTATGACCATAGTCTGTCTACAAGTAACTCCAATTATTTTTTAAATTTGCTTTCCCGTTTCTGTATTGACAAAGACAAGTGAAAATAACTACTGAAAAATATAAAACCTAGCCTTTAATTATAGACTGTATCATTTTCATTTTAGTCTAGCAGATGCAACACTGAGGCAGAAGTGCAAACTATAATATGTGCCTGGGAACCGGCATTTTATTCACTATCTCTTCCAATAGTTACAGCCAAAGTGTAAACAAATTATCAAAGAGCCATACATTAATGTTATATAAGGAAATAGTTCAACTTAATTTGGGGTGATAGGACCAAATATCAAGCACAGCTTATAAAATGTACAACCAATCAAAAAAGATCATATAAATATTTTTACAGACAGAAACTAATGCTGACATAACACTGAGTCAAAAATTACTTAACTTGTAAAGTCTTTTTATACCACATCAAAAGTAATAGTTTTTCAAAAAGGCTTTCAGTGATATATACAACTGGGTATACTATTTTAATGTAATAATACTATTAAAATAATTTTTAAAAACACTTTTTGTAAGTGATACTATTTTGGAACTCAATAGTAAGGTTCCAGTGAATAATCAGAATTTTCAAAACAACATAACTAAACATTAGATAATGTTTTCGATCTAAATCTCTCAATTTTACTATAAAATAAATTAACTTATTCAGAGCAAAAAGGAATTTACATTTTTATTATTCAATACTATACCATGGTTGAGAACAACCCTTCATGGATAAAAAAAAAAAAAAATGAAGAAAAATATAACTTTAATTTAGGTTTAAAAGCACTTGATATTTCATTTACATTATATGAGTAATTTCCCTTCACCAAAAATGTTATTTGCTCTTGTTGTTAAGTGCAGTTGAATGGGTTTGAAGTCCTAGCACTCCCACATCAGGTTTCTGAGGCTGTAAATCTCTGCAGGAGCAGAAAGCCTCACCTTTCTTCCATGGAGCTCATCCCTATGGAGTCAGTGCACTCTCAAAGAAACAGTGTAGAGGAGATTAGTAGCCAGAAACCCCAAGTCCTTATCCCTACTCTGTCAACAACTAGTGAATGTCCTTGGGCAAATCACTAAACGTCCTTGAACCTTGGTTTTCTCAATTATCACGTATGAAGTTTGACTAGATCATCTCTAAAGTTCCTTCCAAGTCTAATATGTTTTACAAAGAAACAGATTTTGTTTGAAACTCTGTGACATGAAAATGTAAATACAAAAGACTGGGGAGAATTTTGTCTACTTATAAAAGCCAAACTAAAAATTCTGTGAAAAAAAAAAAAAGAATTCAAACCAAATACCCAAACTGATTGCCATCAACTCAATCCCAACTCACAGCAACCCTACAGGTCAGAATAGAACTGCCCCATACAGTTTCCAAGGCTGTAATCTTTAAGAACACAGACTGCCACATCTTTCTCCCATGGAGTAACTGGTGGGTTCATACCACCAACCTTTCAGTTAGCAGCCAGGCATTTAACCAGTGCTCTACTGGTTACTTGAAGGAGGTATGATTTACTACTTTGGGAAGGTTAATAAAGAGCTGGAAGGAACAGAAAATGTAAAATAGCATTGACTTACACCTAACTAGAACAAACTGTAAGTCTCCTAACAGCTATGAGAGAGTGCTTTCAACGTTGAAAGATTTTTAAATACTTGGAATTTCTTAGAAAAGAGAAAGCAGAAGTAAAAGGACAGGTAGGACTTAAACTACAGGAAGTAGTATAAGTACTCCTGGTAGAGGAGAGCAGCAGCAGGCCCCAGCCGGCTCACTTGGAGAACAGTGAAAGAGTGGCGAGAGCTTGGCTTAGAAGAAGAGGACAGAAAGCAAAGCAGTGAGCACAGTGACAGCTGTTGTGAATGGCATAAGACATTCAAATATGGGCCTTGCCTTAGGCTGTGGGCAGTTATTAAAAGGCTTTTTATTTAATTGTATTCGAAAACAACTTGTGCAACACAGAATTTCTAATGCAAATGGAAGGAAAGATGCAAGTAATTCAAAAGGGAGAGCTGATGACTGACCGACTGTTAGACAAGCAGACGGATCTGACTTGAATGTGTGGGCAAATGAAAGACAGTGAGGAGCCAGGAGAAAAGACAATGCCTTTAACTACTTGCTCCTCATCTACACACCTTACCCCTATCCTTTCTAATTGGATGGCTTCGCTTCCTACCTCATTTGGGAAAAGAGGGTTTGAGTATCAAGAGACTTTCAAGCCTTCTCTTCCAAAGTTAAGATTCTCTTTAATTAACTTCCATTATCCCATCTACACTCTAAGGTTAACAGTCCTCCTCCCCCACCACCTTTGTTCTCCAGGAGTCCTAGCCAGTGTAACTTCCTGCAATAATGGGAATCTGCTGTCTGTACTGACTGCTTTATGGCCTGGTCTACCAACCTGCTTCTACATCCATAGATTCGTACTTGACCTATAATCAATTTCTGCCTCTCTAATGCTTTATCCTACATTTAGGCTTACAGTTCTCCAATCTTCAATAAAGAAACAAAATCCTTCCTGTAAGCTTGAGTGTGCTCTACAGTTAGTGGCTTACTGCCTTGCTTCACAGCAAGCTTTTCCAGGGAGGCCACACTCATTATCAGAATCCCTTGGGTCAGAGGTGTTTTACAAGTTAGTTTTCCAGAGTTTGGACAAGTATTATAATACTTATCTCTTATATTACTTAAAGACCAATCTGTCAGAGGTTCAAAGGAACAATGAGCAAACACAAATATACTACTATTTCTGCTACAAAATGTAGGGGGGGAAAGACTTAATAGCCTTATTATCAGTTCAGATCAGGGTTTGCTGTCAAAGGAGTTCAGATCAGATTTTAATACAAATTAAGTTTTTTTTTTTCTTTTTTGAGCTTTTTGAATTTTAGGATTTCAGAGACAATGACTTGTGGATTGAACTTCCTGTTTGAAGAAAGGAAAGAACGTAAGCTTTGCTTAGAGCCTATTACTTACCAGGCATTGCCACTGATTTGTGTCATGGAATTCTACCAGTTCTTTTTTAGATAATAAGAAACTGAGGGAATCACTAATTACAGTTACCTGTCCAAATTCAGACCTAACCCCAAAGTCTATATTCTTTCACTTACATTGTGCGATCCTCAAACAGACTTGAGGGTCTCTCAGAGACAAGAACCAGATCTTATTCATCGTTATCCCTTCCTTACCTAGTAGAGTACCTGACACCTACTTGTCTTCAAAAAATGTTGAATGAAGAAACGAATGACTGAACAAAATCAATGAATGAATATGTTGTGTTTAGGTTGATGTGGAACATACATGTGATATCCAGAAGAAAAGTTCATCAAATAAAGTTTATACATACGCTGGACCATAAAATGCTGAAATTCATTTCAAGAGAAGTTTCTACCTTGGGCAATATGATCAGTAATACCAGTGGGAGTAGATTCATTCATGGAAGCACTGAATGGAATTGGCTCATAACGAGGAAGTGGATCTTTTTCCATGTTGTCTGCTGCTGGGGATGTCACAAAAGATGGGTGACCACTGACATTTGAATCATGCTTTGACTTCTGAGAATAGTGCCTGAAAAAGAAAATTATACTGCGTAAGAGATCTAAGTCATTGCCTAAACCTGACTTAAAGAAGTATACTAGGTATAAAAATAAGTTTATCTTGGTTTTCCAAAACAATCACGTAATTTTTAATGGGGTTATTTATTCATAAGCTATAAAATGTCTTATTTTTGTCACAAAAACAGTATAATTACACCCACCATGTAATTTGAAAATACTCTTAAATAAAATAATCCATATCCAATTTTCTATTGCTTCAAAGTTTTCTTGGAACGAGTACTTCAAAATAGGCCTAATTTCAGCAAATATGTTGAGTTCCTACATTAAAGGGGGCATTACAATCACAGCCAGCACTTTAAATAGGTACTATTTTGCTAATTCAGATACAGAAATAATTCTCTCATTTGGTTTACATTTATGAAAAGAATTTATCTACCTATGGAGCTCTGGTAACATAGTGGTTACGAATCAGGCTGCGAACCGCAAGGTCAGCAGTTCGAAACTACCAGCTGTTCCGCGGGAGAAAGATAAGGCTTTCTGCTCCCGTAAAGATTTACAGCCTCGGAAACCCTGTACAGGGTCGCTATGGGTTGGAACCGACTCCACAGCACTTAACAACAACAACATCTACTTAATTACATTATTTATTTATCTAGTTATCCAGGCAGACAGATTCATTTATCTATACTGTTGTTAAGTGCCGTCAAGTCAGTTCCGACCCACAGCAACCCTCTAGAAGGTTTCCAAGGAGTGACTGGTGAGCTTGAACCACCAACCTTGCAGTTCAAACTGACTTTGCAGTCTAGCGCATTAACCCACAGCGCCACACCAGGACTCCTTATCTATACTAGCACAACACAAAAGCAAAATCTTAGACTGTCGCAAACTAGTTAATAGATCCAACATTGTTTTATTTACTAAGACTTAGGAATTTTAAAGTTTTAACATTTGAAATAATTTTTTAATTACACTTAGGATGACCCATTAAAGAAATTCTGAAAAAAAGAAGTGAACTTATAAACCACACCATCATCTTCGTCTTGGGGAGTGCAATGGCTCCAGTGGCAACATACCATGAGCACTGGGCTGTAAATCACAAGGTCTCCAGTTCGAGTCCAATAGCCACTCCTTGGGAGAAAGATGAGGCTTTCTGCTCCCACAAAGATTTAACGCCTCGGAAACCCTATACAGGTTCACTATGAAACAGAACTGGTTCAACGGCACTAAACAACAATCACCACCTTGGTTAATACGGAAGATCTATCTTCCTCTAGTACTTTTACTACAGAAATACACTTTTAGAAAAAAGACAATCTTATGTGCATGTAACTTTGTACTCTGCCCTTTGCAGCTTATTAAAAGTATTTCATCATGTTGCTTCATAGACTTCATAACCACATTTTAAAATAACTTCACAAAGACATATTAATACAGATAATTCTTTCACTTGAGATTAAGTTGATTTTTCTCTTATTAAAATAAAACTGGAAACATCTTCATGCCCATATTTTTTGGTTTGCCATTTTAAATTAACAGAGTTTTTTTTAATTTAATAAAGCGTTCTAAAATTTTATGACCTTCAACTTATGTTGGCAAAATACTATCTCAAACACTTAACCAATGCATAACATAAGAAATATATTCCGATGCCAGACGACTTGTGAAATTATCAAAACAAACATCAGTGTGACTTTTTTCTCAATTAAACAAATATTTATTTCCAGCTCAATTCATTTTCCTACTAAACAGCGGAAGCATTAAAAAGGAAAGTTAAATTTTTTAAGCGATGGAATTGATAAAATTTGGGAATGCAAGAGAAAACTCCAAATTATAATAACCAAAAGTGCTTGTCATATCAAGTCAAGATAAAATTCTTTATTTTGGGACACAATGTCCCGGTAGGATGAAGTCTGTATTTACAGCAATGGTAACCCAGGCTTGTTCTACTTTTTAAAATAAAATTAGCTTTTACCCTACAGCAAATTAGCAAATTTCCAATGGACTTCAGCTGTACAATGTTTCATGCCCTGAACTAGGGAGTATTTGTATCCTTATAATTATTAAGCTAATAATGAAAACAAAACCAAAAACACATTAAATAATGATCAGAATCTGGCCTACCCAGATGGAGAAGGTCGCCGCGCTTGTCCAGATCGTAAAGCCTCTCCAAGAGGGGAATTCTCAAGATTCTTAAACTTCTCCTGGCAAGTTTTCACATAAGAAAGTTTTCCAGCAAAGTATCCCATGATACAAGCAACTTATTTGGGGGGAAAACAACAACAACAAACAGAAGTGTGACAGTGTGATTCGATGTACCTGTTTAGATAAAATATTTTGTAAAGAACGTTTTAAACAGCATTGTTCTAAATGTATCATTGGTTTAGAAAGGCTGAAGTTTTCCTGAATTAATGGTAAAAGTACCATATTACATCAAACTCACAATTCATAGATTCTGAGAATTCATGTTCCAAAAATAAAATAAGCCAAAATGTAATTCCAAATTTACTAATTACTTTCTTAAGACACATAGTAAAGATGCAACAAGAAGAATGCAACAAGGAATGGACACATTATAATTCAAGCTTAGTCCTGAGGATTTACCCACTTCTTTTCCTGTAAAATGGGAGTATCACTTCTCCAGTCAATTTCACAAAATTATTTTTAAATTAAGATAAAATTGGGTGCAATAAATCCCTTGAAATAATTATAAAGCATTACCTAAATACTGGACTGCTAAATGCAAGATTGGTGATTCACACCCACAAGACTGTTTGTGGAAGATGTGGTGGGTTGTTGCAGTAGATTTACAGTCTTGAGAACCCTCACAAGCAGCTCTTCTCTGTCTAGAAGGGTCACTAAGAGTGAGAGTCACCTTGATGTGGCAGGGGGCTTAGTTCTGGAGTCTCTGGCCCTCTCTATTCAAAAGATTGTAAAATGTAAATAAGCTGTGTGAAGAGATTTCTTCTTTAAAAAACTAAGTTTAATTTTCAACCACTTTATTTTGATCAACTGGGATATCTACACAACTTTCTATTTAGACAGACTAAGAGATTTTTTTTTAATACACAATCTTTTCAAAATATTTTTAATAATCTCTATTACATTATCGGGAGTCATGGTGGGTACTTAAGATAAGTACTAGACTGCTACTAACCTCAAGGTTGGCGGTTCACATCCACCACCAGCTCCTAGGAAACCCTATACAGGGTTGTTATAAATCAAGAACCTCTCCACAGCCCTCAACAACAAAAACAATTAGCCTATCAGTGTCCTGCCACAGAGCAGTACGATAAACACTGGACTGCTAACCAAGGTCAACAGTCCAAACCCATAATTAGCTTCTCCTCGGAAAGCTACACAGGGTTGCTATGAGTCAGAACGAACTGGGCAACACTTATTAAACACATTTTTTACATTATTAAAGCAGAATGAAAAATGTTTCTCTTTCAAGTAACTCATGATTTTCATACTAATACAATGTGCACATATTGGGCAACTTTCTCCTTGGCCCCTTGAGGTTTTTGATTTTTTTTGTTTAAAAGGGAAAGCAGCTCTTCTATTGTTTTTCATTTCCCTATTGGTTTTGAAAGAGTCCTGATTTGACACTTGAAGGGTAAGCCACAGATTACTTTAAGTCAGAACTGACTTGACAGCACTTAGGAACAAAAATGGTTTTAAAGACCTCATCACCAGACTCTCACGGGAGCAAGGTGGCTCCATATGATAAGTACTGGACTGTGAACCATAAGGACCACAGATCAGGCTCACTAGCTGCTTCAGAGGAGAAAGATGAGGCTTTGTGCTTTATCGGTGATTTAAGGCCTCAGAAACCCTATAGAGAGTTGCTGTAAGTCGGAAACAACTTGACAGCACTTAACAAGAAAACCCAACCTCTTGCAGCACTGGGCCATGTGTGGGATGCAGGCAAGAAAGGCAGAGGCCGGGCTTTGTGCATGGGCTCTCAGGATCTGTCCAGCCAGCCTGAGGCTGGGTACACTCCACTGCCTTATAGCTGGCTCCTTCCCTGTCCTCCCCTTCTCTAGTAGCTACTTACTGCTGCACCCAGGACTCGAGGACTACCCAAAGCAGGTTCCCTTTAGGGTTTACTAAGGCATTTGCACAATGTCCAAATTAGTTCACAGAAAGTGGATGTTAAGTGACACATCCCTATAGTCATTTAATAGTCATAAACAAAGTGATTTGTCAGAGCACATAACCAGATTACTATTATGAGTGACACGATAAATCATTGGATAAAAACTAATGAATGTACTCAAGTTAAAAAAAAAAAGCTAAGTATTAAGAGACAATGTCAACTAATAAAAATGCAATGTTGTTTAATACTTACATATAAGTTTAGGGATAGATCCATACTTGGGATGACTTGAAAGGATTCCTAAAGAAAAAAAAGAATGAATATTTCTGAATAACATGAATTGTTAGAGAAAGATGAATTTACACAATTAAGGCAAGGTATGCAGTAAATTGCACTATAATTTTAAGTTCATGCCAAGAGTACAAAGGAAAACAACAAAGCTTATTGTGAGAAATAAAAGCTAAATAAAGGGCGAAATATACTAGGCTCATGAACTGAAATATTTAATATTGTGAAGATGGGAACTGCCTACAAATTAATTTATAAATTCAATGTAATTCTAATCCATATCAAAACAAGTTCTTGAAAACTTTAAAAACTTAATTCAAAAACACCAAGAGTGCACAGAAAGCATCAAGAATAGCTAAGGCTACCCCAAAGAGAATATGCAAATAACAAGTACAAGAAAAGACGCTCACATACATCAACCAATGTTATTGTTTCGAGTCATAAATAACCCAACGTGATAAAGTCAAACTATCCCAAAGGATTTTTTAGGCTGTAATCCTTACAGGATCAGATTGCCAGGAGATTCTCCTGGGTAGCTGAGTAGGTTTAAACCCCCAACATAAAGTTAGTCACATTCTTAAGTGTTGCACCACCAGGGATCCTTCACTAACAATTATTGTTATTGCTACGTGTCCTCCAGTTGGTTCTGACTCAGTGACCCTCTATAGGGTTTCTGGGGAACGCAGGGGCTCCATACTATAAGCACTGGACTAAGAACAACAAAGTCTGCGATTCGAGACTACCAGCTGCTCCACAGGAGAAAGATGAGGCTTTCTGCTCTTGCGAATATTTAAAAGCCTTGCAAGCCATATACATGGTCTCTATGAGTCAGTACCAACTCGAAGGCAGTTTAAAACAAATAGTGTTTCTGAAGAGCAGCTGAAAGGTTTGAACCACTGACCCTGAAGTTAGCAATCCAGTGTTTATCCAAGAGCATCGCACCAGGATTAAGCATTGTTGTTTTTAGATACCATGACTTGGTACTGACTCTTAATTGACCATATGCACAACAGAACGAAACACTAACTGGGTCCTGCCCCAACTCACAATCACTGCTACATTTGAGCCCGTTGCTACTGCCACTGTGCAAATCCAACTAGTTGGGTGTCTTCCACTTTTTCTCTGACCTTCCATCCTAACAAACATGATACCCTTCCCTCCAGGAACTGGCCATTCTGACTTCCAATGAGCATTCTGGTTGTACTTCTTCCAATACAGATTGGTTTGTTCCTTTGGCAATTCATGATACTTTTAATATTCTCTTCCAACACCATAACTCAAATACCACAATTCTTCTACAGTCTTCCTTATTCACTGTCCAACTTTCACTTCAAACTGACATTTATGCTAACACAGTAAAGAGGTCTTGTGCAGCAGATTTGCTTAATGCAATACATCATTTAATTTCTTGACTGCTGTTTCCATAAACTTTGATGGTTGATCTGAACAAAACAAAGTCTTTGACAATTTCAATCTGTTCTCCATTTATCATGATGTTACTTATTGGTCCACTGGTAAAGATTTTTGCCTTCTTTACATTGAGGTACAACCCATATCGAAGACTGTGGTTTCTGATCTTCAGTTAAGTATTTTAAGTCCTCTTCACTTCCAGCAAATAAGGTAGTATCATCTGCAAATCACAGGTAGTTAATCAGTCTTCCTCCAATCCTAATGCCACATTTTTTTCATATATTCCAGCTTCTCAAGTTATGTGCTCAGCATACAGACTGAATAAATACGATGAAAGAATACAACCCTAGCGCACACCTTTCCTAACTTCAAGCAATTCAGTATTCTCTTGTTCTAGTCAAACAACTACCTCTTGGTCTATGTACATGTTCCTCATGAGCACAATTAAGTTTCAGGAGTAATCATACTTCACAATGTTGTGCACAGCGTGTCATGATCCACACAACCGAAAGCCTCTGCTGTCAATAAAGCACAGGTAAACATCTTTCTGGTATTCTCTGCTTTCAGCCAAGATCCATTGGACATCAGCAATGATATCCCTCATTCCACGTCTTCGTCTGAATCTGGCTTGAACCTCTGACAGTTCTCTGTCAATGTACATCTGCAGCTGTTTTGTATTATCTTTAGAAAAATTTTACATGTATGAGATGTTAATGATATTGTCTGATGACTTCCACATACCACTGGGTCACCTCTCTTTGGAATGGGCACAAATATGCATCAGTTGCAGTCAGCTGGCCAGGTATCTGTCTTCTAAATTTCTTGGCACAGATGAGTGAGTGCCTCTAATGCTTCATCAGTTTGCTGAAAGCAATTTGTATTCCATCAATTCCTGATGCAGTTCTTTGTCAATGCCTTCAATGCACCTTGGACTTCTTCCTTCAATATCATTCACTCTTGATCATATGCTACCTCTTGAAATGGATGAACATCAACCATTTCATTTTGGTACAGTGACTCTATGTATTCCTTCCATATACTTTTGATGCTTTGTACATCATTCCATATTTTGCCCATGGAATCCTTCAATATTGAAAATTGAGGTTTGAATTTTTTTCTTATGTTGTTGCTGTTGTTAGGTGCCATTAAGTTAGTACCAAATCATAGGAACCCTATGCATAACAGAATGAAACACTGCCCGATCCTGGGCCAACCTCACAATCATTCCTACACCTGAGCCCATCACTCCTACAACACTCCCGCCAGTGTGCCACTTCATCTCACAGGGAGTCTTCCTCTTTTTCTCTGACTCTCCACTTCACCAAACACTACATCCTTCTCCAGTAACTAGTCCCTTCTGATAATGTGTCCAAAGTAAGAGAAAGTTTGGCCATCTTGGCTTCCAAGGAGCACTCTGGCTGTACTTCTTCCAACACAGATCTGTTTCTTTCGGAAGTCCATAGCACTTTTAATATTCTCCAACAAATCAGAACCACAAAGAGATGCTACCATTTCACCCCAATTAAAAAACAGTTACAATTAAAAGCAAATAGAAAAAAGCTGGTGATGGTGAGGATATAAACACTAACTCACTGCTAGTGGAAATACAAAATGGTACAGCATGGTATATAACAATTTGGCACTTCCTCATAAAGTTAAAACATGCGATCCAGCAATTCTAATTCAATGTACATACCCAAAAGACCTGAAAACAAGAATATCACAGAAACCTGTACACCAGTTCTTGCTGCAACACTATTCATAATAGCCCAAAGGTGGAAAGCTAAAACTCTATCAACAAATACATGAACAAAACATAATATAAGCATACTTTGGCATATTAGTTAGCTATGATGAAAGGCAACCACCACTGGTCTGCCAGTTTGTATCACTGTGGTGACTTGCATGCTGCTATAATGGAGGAAGCTTTGTACTGATACTTTGAATACCAGCAGGGTCAACCATGAAGGGACATGTTTCAGCTGAGTTTCAAGACAAAGACAAACTCAGAAGGAGGAGAGAAAGGCTACTTCCAAATGTATATCCACTGAAAACCTTAATGAAGCAGTGAAACACTGTCAGATAGTCCCAAAATATTGAATATTTCAATATGATAACCAGCACAAGAGAAGCACAGTCAGATATAGGGCCAGAATAGGAGACCCCAGGTTGGAAGGCACTTAAAATATGACAGGGGAGAAACTGCCTCTTCAAAGTAGAACTGAACTCTTCAAAGCAGAATTGAAAATAATGACATGAAATGGAATAAAGCTTTTGGGACCTTCATTGCTCAAAATGAAAAGAAAATGCTGGAAACATTAATAATTGGATCACAGACTGTCCAAATTAGGAAAATTGGAAGTTGTCAAAAATGAAGAAGGAATGCATAAAGATCAGTATCCTAAATAAGCATAGTGAGCTGAAGTAGACTGGTATTTGCCATTCTGAATCTGAAAATCACAAGGTTTACTAAAACAAAATTGACAAATTGAAGCGGAATGGTATCACAATCATCATCAAAAAAGAACATTTCAAGATCTTGAAGTACAAGTTTTCTGTCTGTGATAGGATGATATCCTTAGGCCTAAAAAAAGATCAATTAATACCATTATTATTCAAATTTATGCATTAACCACTAAAGCAAGTAATGATGAAATTAAAGAACTCTACCAACTTCTTTACACATGGAAACAAAATGTATACATAATTACTGCTGATTGTAATGTAGAGGTTGGAAACAAAGAAGGATCCAGAAGTTGGAAAATATGGCCTTGGTGATAAAAATGATGTTGGAGATTCTACGATAGAATTTTTCAAGACCAATGAATTCTTCAAAGAAAATACCATTTTAAACAACATAAAAGAAGACTATACACATGGACCTAACCAGATGCAATATACAGAAATCAAATTCACTGTATCTGTTAAAAGACACTGTGGAAAAGCTCCCTAACACCAGTCAAAACTAGGCCAGAAACAGACCACCAATTGCTCATATGCAAGTTCAGGCTGAAGCTGAAGAAATTTTTCTAAAGTCCAAAGAGCCAAAATATGACCTTGAATATATCCCACCTGAATTTAGAGATCATCTAAAGAACAAATTTAATGCATTAGATATTAATGACCAGAAGAGTTGTAGGATGACATCAAGAACATCATTCAGGAATAGAGCAAAAAAAGCTTATTAAGAACACAAGAAAAATAGAAAAGACCAAAACAGATATCAGAAAAGATTCTGAAACTTGCTCTCCACTGTAGAGATGCTACAACAGATGGAAGAAGGAAGATGTGAAAGAGCTTAACAGAAAATTTCAAAGATTAGCTTGAGAAGACAAAGCCAAATATTATAAAGAGATGGAAGGAATACAGTCATTGTACCAAAAAGAAATGGGCAATGTTCAACCATTTTTACAGGTAGCATATGATCAAGATCAAGAGCTAATGGTACTGAAGGAAGAAGTCCAAGCTGCACTAAAGTAATTGGAAAAGAACAAGGCTCTAGGAATTGTTGGAATACAAACTGAAATCTTTCAACAAACTGATGCAGCACTGGAGGCACTCACTCATCTATGCCAAGAAATTTGGAAGACCTGGCCAACTGA